ACAGAGTAGAACAGCCCCATAGGGTTTCCAAGGAGTGGCTGGTGGATTTGAACTGCTGACCTTTTGCTTAGAAGCTGAGCTCTTAGCCACTGCACCACCAGGGTTCCATTTCACTCTTAGCAATGGCCAATGTGTACGTCATCCACATACACTTCCATATAAAAGAGTTACTCAAAGAGATGCCCACAGGTGATGAATCATTGCTATTAGCATAAAAATGAAGAAACATGGTTTGGAACAACTGCTTTGGTGCATGAAGTTCAGATAAATATGTTAATTAGCTAAAGCATACAATTTCCCTACACTTTAAATGATATTATAGTCCCCAAAACTCAAGCTATCATTGTACATTCTTGACCATGACAATAATGAAATGGCATTCTTTGTTCTCTCCCTCTCTCTTCTCTCTCTCTTGTGAATGCCTGGATTATTGCATACATTAGAACAATGGCTGGATAGGTGGGTGGATAGGTGGGATCAACCCTGGTGATCTCTTGTGGGTGGGATTTACTTTTGACATTATAATTTCTGTTTAATTTCTTCCTAACAATAAATATATCTTACTTTTGTAGTAAAAAATACATCAAAGATATTGTAAAAATATTTACATCGTAAACACTTCTCCAAAATATCTTTTCTGAATTCAGAAAATAAAGACTAAGTAACAATGAAAACCAAAAAAAAAAAAAAATGCTTCTTTACCATGACAGTTTGATGAATTGGGCACATTACCAGCTTGCTGAATTATTGTTAGAAAGAGAATCGTGGGAATTCTATGATTTTGGATTCACTTTTTGACTAGTTATTATTGTTGCTCAGATTGCTTAAACAGTTCACTATACACATATCATCACTGCATACAAAGCTTAATTCTAGGCGGTGATAAGCAATCAGGGCAATAGAAAAAAAATGAAAAAGTGGCCTGGCCCAAAACAAGCAGAACATGTTATTAGATGTCACCTGAAGTTTTAATGTATTTTTATCGGATATATAACTAAACTCTGATGAATGTCGTTTGCGTGATTTCACAATATCTCAGACCCTTTAAAAGTGTATAGTATGTGTTTATGTGTAAATTACATATCATAGATTATTTTCAGGAATTTTATCATCTCCAGCCCAGTTCTGAGATCATATCCACATGAGAACATGCTGATATTTTGGAAGCATCCAACCCATTTGTACAAGAACAACTTTGATCCATAGTGGGAGAGGGCATTGTAGCACTTACTATTTGTAGGAAGAGACTTAATCCATGCGAGTCCCAGCCCTCCCTGTTTTTGTTAATACCGAAGACTTCCTGAAGAAATAAACCATGCTCATCCTTTCTTTTGCCTTTATCCATTGCCCTAAAAGTAAGGCAGATAGGCATTAACATTTGCATAAGCCACTACTCCTCACCTTGGAGAACTGGGCACAGATTTTGATTTAGGAGAAAGTACAAGAGGTATGAATCCTTTCCTCCATCTAAGCTTCAGGATCATCTCCTTCCTGAGAAGTGAATGGGGAATGTCAAGCAGTGTATATCAAAGATGTATAAACCAGTGATGTGGCCATCATCCACTGCCCCTGATAAGGAACTGACTGCAAAATTACTTTCTGGAGTCCAGAATTTACTCCCTCTCTCGGGCTTCTGTTCATTCCCTTTTCTAAACAAAAAATAATTTCTGCTCATTGCTGGATTATGGAAACCCTGGTGCCGTAGTGGTTAAGAGCCATGTCTGCTAACCATAAGGTCAGCCAGTGGTTCAAATCCACCAGATGCTCCTTGGAAAATCTAAGGGGTGGTTCTACTCTGTCCTGTAGGGTTGCTATGAGTTGGAATCAACTCAACGGCAATGGGTTTTGTTTTGCTGGATTATAAATTTGACCTGGGATCTAAAATGCCGAGTGCGTTTTTTCTGTGCTTTCACTCTCATCATCAAGGATGATAAAGACAGTGAGGTTAGAATTCAGCCGTGACAGTATAGATGATTAAGCTAAAGCCTAATTGGTTATGCAGTGTTAGCAGAAGCCACAATTTAATAGCTGGTTTTCCCCTATAGTAAAATAAACCTCTGTGACTCACAGTCACAGAGAACAGAATTCTGTTGATTAAGAGAGGCATTTTTATGGGCAGTAAGGAAACGAGAGAAGAATTAAAACTCAAACCTCAAAGTTATGTTTTTTCTGTCTGAACTTTTTAGAGTGTAACATTCTCCAAACTACCATTTCAACTGTTAAATATCTGTTTGAGATAATAGGATAAATATTTTTAAAGCATGTGATAGCCATCTGTGACTGGAAAGGAAAACTTAGATTTAATTTTGAGTAATATTTGAAATAGCTGTGTTCACAACAACTGTTATGGATTGAATTGTGTCCCTCTAAAATGTGTATCAACTTAGCTAGGCTGTGATTTGCAGTATTGTGTGGTTGTCCTCCATTTTGTGATCTGATGTGATTATCCTATGTGTTGTAAATCGTAACCTCTATGATGTTAATGAGGCAGTTATGTTAATGAAGCAGGACTCAATCTACAGGATTAGGTTGTATTTTGAGTCAATCTCTTCTGAGATGTAAAAGAGAGAATTGAGCAGAGAGGAAAGGGACCTCATGCCACCAAGAAAGCAGCACCCGGAGCAGAGCGTATCGTTTGGATCTGCAGTCCCTGTACTGAGAAGCTCCTAGACCAGGGGAATATTAATGACAAGGACCTTCCCTCAGAGTCAACAGAGAGAGAACGACTTCCCCTAAATTTGGACTTCTAGCCTCCTAGACTGTGAGAAACTAGATTTCTGTTTGTTAAAGCCACCCACTTGTGGTATTTCTGTTATAGCAGCGCTAGATAACTAAGACAACAACTCAACCTGGTAGAGTCCGATAGTAAAGGCAAAGCTTGTAGCGGCAGGGAGTGGATAAAAGGGAGCCAGTGTGGCCAGTGCAGCTTAGCAACCCCACTGCAGTCATGTGGCAGGGAGATTTATCTCGTGGGGAGCTCTGGTGACAAGGCCATCCAAGTGTTTCCTGTGTGGTTGAAGTAAACAAGTACAGAGAAGTAGGATGCGGAAAGTGAAAAGATTTCCCTGGCAGGCTTCACAATTGCTCTTATTTTTCTCCAGCACCTCCAGTGTGCTCTGCAGCCAGACCTTCCCCAACACCAAGGAACCAGCTCCATCCAGGCTGGTGATTTTGAAGTAATGAGAGCCATCCAATTTGATGAGGTTTTCTATGACTTAAAAAAATTTAAAACCAAGGGAAATGGATTTTTTTAAAAATATTTTTGATGACAAAGAGCCAATAAGGGTAACTAAGTTTCTATTTATACTCAAAATTTGATCAGAATGATCGTAATTCATCTTTTAGCCATTCTATGAATTGAGAACCCATCGGTCAATGTCATTATTGTTAGCTGCCATGAAGTTGTCTCAGATTCATGGAGACCCTATGTACAACAGAATGAAATATTGCCTGGTCCTGCATCATCCTCAAAATCACTGGCATTTTCAAATCCATTGTTGCAGCTATTGTGCCAATCCATCTCACCGTGGGTTCCCCTTGCCCTCGCTGGCCCTCTACTTCACCAAACATGATGTAGTCCTCCAGCGACTGATCCCTCCTGATGATGTGTCCAAAGCAGGCAAGTCACACAGGGTTCTGTTGTGCTCCATAGGTTTTCACTGGCTAATTTTCAGAAGTAGATCCAGGTCTTTACTCCTAGTGTGTGTCAATAGTGCCTGATAAAGAATATAATCAGATTTTCTATTTCTGGTGTGAATAAGTAAAAGTTATAAACCTAGTCCCCACAATCACCTCTTTGTGGGGACTAGTGTTATAACTAGTGAAAAAAATTGCCCATATTTGTAAAAAGTTTATGTGATTTCATTACTTCAGTGTAATCTTCTAAATCCAAATTAGAACCACTATGGTCAGCATAGGCTAGATAATTTGTTCTTCCAGCTTATATATAAGTAAGTGAGGTTGTCAAAAACATCAGAAGCTCAGTTCTCCATTGTAAGGAGCTCACAAGGAAAGTGAGACACATGGCGTCTAGGAGCAAATGTTAAGGAGTTTCCTAAAGTTCAATTAGTAATGAGCTCTGAGTACTGCTACAGGCTTGTTTAAAATGTAGTGGAATATAAAATCCTTAGAAAAAATGAGTGTACCATCCGTATTCATTTCCCAGGGCTCTGTAACAAAGGATCACGCTCTGGTGGCTTAACACAATGGACATGTATTTTCTGACGATTCTGGAGGCTGGGGGGTCCTAGCTCAGGGTGTTGGCAGGGCCACACACTCTCTGGAAGCTCTAGGGGAAGACCCAGACATCCCTTGGCTTGTGGTCGAATCCCTGCTGTCTGCCTTCATCTTCACATGCATCTTCCCCTGTGTCTGTGTCGCTTATCTTCTTAGGAGGACACCTGGCTCCAGTGTGACCTCACGTTACCTTAGCCAATTATGCCTGTGAGATGCTATTTCCAGGCAAGGTCACATTCACAGGTACCAGGTGTTAGGACTTGAATACAACTTTTGGAGAACACAAATCTACCCATAACATCATGAAATGGAACATCCCAAGTGCCTCCATTCTATGTCAAAGAGAAGCAGATATTTGAGTAACATGTATATTTACAAGATATGAAGAATTATCTTCATTTGAGGGAAAAATATTGGGATTAAATAGTTCACTTTTTTCAATGAAATTCTAGAGTCTCAAGTTAAAATTTGAAGCTTTTAACACTTTGATTAGATTGATATTATTAATATTACAATTGCAGCAAGTTTTTTTATTGATATAGGTTCTAATGATCATTCTTATCAATACTCCCCATAAAATCCTTTTCAAGACACACAGTAAACCAAAGGAAGAGACAGAACGAGAACCCAGGACCTTGGATTTCTGAGGGAAAGCACTTCTTTACCCCCATTTATCCTGTACAGACCCCATCAGTAATAGGTAGATTCACCCTGGGTGTCAGCCCGCAATGACTCAATGATGTGTTGTCCATTTCTTCTTTTAGGGGCTGACGTCATCAATTTCGATGGCCATGTTGTGTTGCCATACAGATTCAAAAATAAGAAGATGAAAACACTGAAAGATGTCATTGCCCTGAAATTTAAGACCTCTGAGAGTGAAGGGGTCATCCTGCATGGGGAAGGACAGCAAGGAGATTACATCACTCTGGAGCTCAAGAAAGCCAAGCTGGTCCTCAGCTTGAACCTTGGTACGTTCAACTCTGGGTGCCATTCCTTTTAGGTATTGCTGTTCCCGTTAGGCACATGGTAATGCTGCTTAATCCTTTACAATGAAATCACAGTCGTAGTTCACTTTTTGTGGTCAATTCATTCTTAATCTATAGCAGTTGGTGTATATGGAGATACGTACTCATTCGAAAAAATATTTGTTGAACATCTGCTTTGCCGGGCACTATCCCACCTGCTGGGAGACAGTGGTGAGCAAAGAGACAAAGTCCTTGAGATCATGAAGTTGATGGTATAGCAGAAGATATAATACTTTTTATTAGTATTTTAAACCAACTAAAGAGAAATAATTTCAAACAATGGTAAGTTCCATGAAGTAAATTAAGCAGATACTCTAATTAAGAGCATGGGTCATGAGGGAAGACCTCGTGGATGAGAAGACAGTCAAGCTGAGCTCTGAATGATGACAAGGAATGAGCCGTGAAAAAGTCAAGGAGAAGGAAAACGTTTCAGAGAAGGGAGCCATTAAAGACAAAGTCTCAGCATGCACAGGGACCAGGAAGGAGGCTGGTGTGGGCAGATCCAGTGAGAAGGTGGGCTGGGAGATGGAATCTAAGAGTAGGTCCAAATCCTGAAGGTTCAGATATTATTTTAAGAATGGGAAGCTCTTGGGAGGCTCTAGACTGTATGGCATCATGATCTTATGTTAAAAGCTCACTGAGGATCTGCAAGAAAGTTGCTTGTTTCAGCACAAGACTGTGAGCAAGCCTCCCACATAGCCCAGGTGAGACGTGGCGAAGGTTTGTAGGAGGTGGTTATCCGTGGAGATGTGGAGATGCAGAGAAATGGGTCTAGTTTTAGGAGCAGGTTCAGCATGACTTGGGATGGATTGGACATGAGGTGAGAAGGAAAGGGAGGAAGTGAAGGATGAGCCCTAGGGTTTGGGTTTGAGCATCAAGTGGACATCCGTGCCATCTTCAGAAATGGAGGAAACTCACCAGAGATGTGCTGGAACCTAGTGCATTGAGTCACCCATCAGACATCGAAGAGGAGAATCCACGAGAATACGCTGACTTTCAGAGAAAATGGGCAACGCACATCAAGAGACAACTCACAGGAGAAGAAATATAACCATTTTATGAACCCAAAATGCTCAACCACACTATCTATACAAGAAAAGCACAATAAAATAACAAGGTACCAATTTTTTCTTACCAAAAAATTGTAAATTATTTTATAATAATAAGTAAATTTTATATAAATAAATAATGAATCAATACATTTAAAAATGACAATATCAGTGTTCGTGAGTATGTGACAAAAAGAACCCATTGGACTGTTCTGTAAATCGGGAAGTATTTTCAGGAAAACAGTGTGACCATATGTACTCAGATATTTAAAATCACCTATATATTTTGATCCAGTAATCCCAAGGAAATAATGAGAAAAGTGTACAAGGATTCAAGTCCGTGGTGTACTTTGCAATATTGATTGCAATGTCAAAATTTGAAAAAAAACTAAAGATGTAGAAATAGGATGATATGTGCTTAAAATGATAGTCAGTTATATTCACTATATAATTTTAAAACTGTGAGATACAAAATATTATAAACAATATGATACCAATATTGTCATATTAAATATATATAATTAAATGTATGTATAACACTAAATATAAATATATATAAATAAATATATGTACAGTGAAAACTTGGAGAGCCGGAACCAAGCGAGACTGGCTTGTTTTTCCGGGTCTCGCAAGTTTTCTGCCTTTGACGGGGTGCAGTGTTTCCATTTGTCTCTAACTAGGTTTAGTGGAAAATATTTGCATTTCCTTCTCTGGCAGGTTTCCTACACAGGTTCCAGCTTTTCCCAGGTTTTACTGTATATAGAAAAAAAGCCTGGAAGGAAGTAGACTAATCTATTGTTAATGGTGAAAATGAGTGGAAATATGATAGTTTACATGTTACTTCTTCATAATATTTTCTACTTGTAATAGTGAACACGTATTCTGGTGCTACCTGGGAAAAACACAGCCGTAAATCATTTGTGAAACAAGGATCAATAGAAGGGAAGCAGGTAGGGTGAGAGTAGAGAGCCCAGAAAACAAAATGTAAATAGTCGTGTTTTTTTTTTTTAAATATGTGCACACACAGAGAGAGACAAGGCAATTGGATTATATCCAACGTTTCTTCTTTCAAACGTCTCTTTGTCAAACAAAGTATACAGAATAACCTTTTAAAAGCCACTGTGCTTTGTAGAGGTGTGACATCGCTTCTCTGAAACAAGTAACTAACCATATGACCTCCCAAAAAAGGCCATCGCCTTTTCACTGAGAAGCAGTTGACTTCCAGAGCTTTATTAACTGGCTAGGATTGACAACAGCGACGGACGTACATCCACCGACATACACTGTCGTTCTTTATGCCGTTACCGGAACATCAGGCACACCTGACTGCTGCTCTGCCTCTGGTACAAATATGTACAGGTAATAAGGCCAAGGGTAGTCTTTTCACTTAGGTTTGGTCCTCTCCTGCCCACACGCCTCCACCACATACACAGCTTCACAATCACAGCCACACGTCAACAAGTCATATCCTCACCAAAAGCGAAGAAGAACCATATGGTCTCGGAAAACCATGGAAAATGTAAGGAATAGGGACCCGTAGCATCTTCATTGTGAAAGAAATAACTTACTGTACCAGTCATTCTGCTCGATGTTCTTAAATCAGGCTATAATTTCAGAGACTAACTTTTCCCGATCATAAAAAGCAGCACCTGATCAGACAATGTAGGGAGTGGTATGAAAAATGTCAACTGCATACAGAGACAAATTTGGCAAACATTCTGGGTTCTAACAATCTTACATCCTGATTTAGAGTTCTGCTGTTATGCAGATCTTATTTCAACACGAGATTGAACCCACGTGTGTATTTTTTGAATGTTTGTATTTTAATGTAAAGTATAACTTGAGTAAATGTTTCATGCCATTCGATGTTACATACTGCTTAAGATTATGGCTTTTGGAGTCAGAGAAAAAATGAAAATTGTCATGCTGTTTCTCCTTGATCAATAATAAAAAGAACCATAACAATAACAGCAGCAACGATAACAATAATACTTTTTTTTTTTTTTAATGTTGCAGGTAGCATTTACTGAACCCTCACTAGTGCCAGGGAGCACGCTAAGTTAAGTTCTTGGCAGGCACTGACTCATTTAAACCTCGCAGCAACCTTGTAAAGTGGGTACAATCATTGTCCCCATTTTACATGCAGGAACACGGAGGCCCAGAGAGGGCCCCCACACTCCCAGGATCTTACAGCCAGCCCGTGGGAGCCAGCTTCGGGTTTCTGCCCTGCTTAGAGCCCAAGGCCCGGACTTTGCAATAACTCTTCCAAATTTAGCATAATTCATGGCACAGTGGAACAAACCTTTCTTTTTTTTTTTTTCTTTTTAAGGGAGCCGACTTTTCCATTCTGAGTGACTCACACACACTTCAGGTTACCCTGGTTAGCGTAGTGGTCTTGTGGCCCTCCTGGGTTAGCTCTGTGGGCTGGGCTCCCGGCCTCCTACATGAAGTGTCCCCTGCCCAGGGTTGGCCACCAGTCACTCCTTGTTTCTCTTTCCTTGTGACTCAGGAAGCAACCAGCTGGGTCCCATCTATGGCCACACGTCGGTGACGGCTGGCAGCCTGCTGGACGATCACCACTGGCACTCAGTGGTCATCGAGCGCCAGGGCCGTGGCATCAACCTCACACTCGACAGGAGTGCACAGCACTTCCGCACCAACGGCGAGTTTGACTACCTGGACCTGGACTATGAGGTGAGCGCCCACAGGTGGAGGCTGCCGGCGGTGACGTGCTGCCACCAGGTCCTATTTGTTACTGTGTATTTGTCAGTCACATACCTACCTATCTTTTTTTTCTTTTTATTGTACTTTAGGTGAAGGTTTGCAGAACAAATAATTTCTCATTAAACAGTCAGTGCACATATTGTTTTATGACATTGGTTAACAACCCACAACATGCCAACTTTCTCCCTTCTCAACCTTGGAGGACTTTTTTTTTTTTTTTTTGCCTACCTATCATCTTGACTTCATTCTCCAACCAAATGTAAACCTTTAAAAATTTATGCCACTGCATTCATATCTAAACTTTTAATCATGAGCACTCGGAGTATTTTTAAATGTTGTCGTCAAAGTAATAATTTAAAGAGTGGAGCGGTTTGTCATGCTATCAGGACCATTGCGTATGTTCAGAATAAATTTAAGTTGTAATCTTAAATTAATGGTAATTAAATCTTAATGGTAGTTAAATATGTTACCTATTTTTTCTCAAGTATGTATAGTATATTATATAGCCAGCAAGCAGTGCGTATGCACAAGTTTTTCTAACAGTTATTGCAAAGTGTCGGATAATTAATTGTGAGTTCTGGCTTATAGCATTTAGTTTTGGTCATTTATACATTTATGATTATGGACAAGTCGTTTGACGAGTTCTGTTTTCTCAACTATAATCATGGTAAAGGAAGTAAAGCATAGCATATTTTAAAGAGATTGGTCATAAATGAGACGCTGTGTTTGACCTTCCAAATGATCAAAGATTAAAAACTAATTAATGACCGTATTGCTACAATAAAAGAAGTATTCTCATAATGTGCTGGTAGGCATATCATGTTTTTGGTTTTTTGCTTGTTGTTATTTAAAAAAAATATTTAAGTCACCCTGCTAACTTAGAACTAAAGCCATTCCAGTAGTCCACCTTTCAGCCGAAGATCAGACAGGCCTGTAAAACAAACAGTAACACAAGTATGGGAGACCAAATGGGCAACACCTGCCCAAAAGCAAAGACGAGACGGCAGGAAGGGACAGGAAACCTGGACGAATGGACACGGGGAACCCAGGGTGGAAAGGGAAGTGGGGAGAGTGCTGACACATGGCGGGGATTGCAACCAATGTCACAAAACAATCGATGGATAAAATTTTACTGAGAAATTAATTTGTGCTGTAAACTTTCACCTAAAACACAATACAATTAAATATACATATATATATTTAGAGAGCAATTCAGCCTTGACATGTGCATTAAAACCGATGATCACGTGTGGGGATAAGAGTTCTGTAGGAAGATGTTCACCACAGCGTTATATATAACAGGGGAAACGGGAGAACACTACAGGTCCAAGCACAGTCTGACAGTAAAATAAATAGGGTAAAACATTCAGCCTGAGGTCTCCTGATGGCCTCGGTTCATGGAACATGTAGTGTCTCGGTGATTTTCCCACAGCAGCCCTGGCCCATTCTGTGATAGTTAGGTGCAAATAACTTAATAAATGCTTGTGTCCTCACAGTTTAGTAGCCATTTAAAAAAGTAATAATAATACACATAAAAGAAAAAGCAATATTTTATTTTATTCTCCAGGAACAATAATAACTTACTAATAGGATAAGTGACCTGTGCTGCCAAATTCTCAAATTTTGGGACCAGATTTGACCCGTCTGTCCTCATTTTCTGTCCATTTTATTTTCACGCGATGCTCTGTTTTTATCCGAGCAGTAGCCAAAAACCCAACGTCACAAACGTATGACATCATCAAAAGCAATGTGTTGTTGTTAGGTGCTGTCAAGACTGTTCCGAGTCACAGCGACCCAGTGTGACAGGGTTTCCAAGGCTGTCATCTTTACAGGAATGGACTGCCACATCTTTTTCCTGCAGAGTGGCTGGTGGGTGCTTAACCATGTGCCCCCAGGGCTCCTGAAAAGGAACGTAGCAGCAAATGTTGGAGCTGCGAGCTATGTCAAGCTAGCATCTCATACAGTGCCCAGAAGATGCCAAGCATGGCTGGGTTTCCTTTGAAATACACTGTAGTGTCCCTCTGAGTCCACTGTGGCACCCCAGTTTTGAGATAGCAGATATATATTGTTAGAAGCCATAGAGTCGGTTCAGATTCATAGCGACCCTATGTGATAGAGCAGAGCTGTCCCATAGGGTTTTTTTGGCTATAATCTTTATGGCAGCAAATCGCCAGGTCTTTCTCTTGGAGAGCCACTATGTGCATGCAAACTGCCAACCTTTAGGTTAGCAGCCAAGTGCTTAACACATATATGTGTATATGTATCTATCTATCTGTCTGTCTATCTGTCCATCTATCCGTCCATCCATCCATCCATCCATCCATCCATCCTTCCATCCATCCTTCCATCCATCCATCTCTATCATCTGTCTATCTATCTGTCTGTCTGTCTGTCTACCTATGTATCTATCTATGTATCTACCTATCTACCTGTCTGCCTATACACATTTTAAGAATGTGGAATATGCCCATCATAAAATAATAAGTGAAAAACTCAGGATTTGTAACTGTGTTTTCTATTATCTTTATATGTTTAAATAGTTTCTAAATGTTTTGGAATATGCATATATTACAGAGATTCCTGAACACAAATTGAAGATTGAATATGCATATAAACCCCGATGGAGACTTTATTAACATTAAAATAATTTGAGGTTATCAAGAAATAATTCTCCCACTCGGAAAAAAAAAAATCTCTGTAAAGCAAAATGATCCTTGACCTTGAAAGGGAAAGAATGGGAACTTCCTAGGAATGTCTTTTCTAAATTAGGATATGTCTTGGCTCGTGTGTCTTATCTCCCCATTTTATGTGAGAACTTAAAGATGAATTATTCATCCTCCTTTAATAAACGTTGAAGTACCATTGAAAAATGAGAAGTACCGGACTATTAGCAATGGGCAATGCAATCCCAGTTTTCAAAAACAGAATTAAACATCTGGGGTCAGTGACCTATGGAGTTGGTGATCAAATGCATGAATATTCATGCACACACAACAGTTTCCACACAGGCCAGCATATTCATGGACACCTGAACCCCATCTATGTATAATACCATGCTTGGGAACCTCTCCTGTGGACATATGTGTTGTAGACACTAGGCACAGATTTAAATTTGCTAAGAAAGAATCAGGATAGACTCAACTTATTCCTCTATGTGGGGCCACTGCCTGATTTCTGTCCTCCGAGGGATGGCAGTTATTGGCGTGAGGCTCGGTAAACCTGGCTGGACTACCTTTGTATCTCTACATGTTCATCTTAATTTATAGGGACTCTGTTGGCTTCTGTGTTTAAAGAGAAGTAGGGACTGTCTTAGGAGTCCTTGCCCATTGCTGTTGAGTTGATTCCAACTCATAGCCACCCTATAGGACAGAGTAGAACTGCCCCATAGGGTTTCCAAGGCTATAATCTTTATGGGAGCAGACTGCCACATCCTTCTCCCGTGGAGTGGCTGGTGGGTTCGAACTGCCGACCTTCCGGTTAGCAGCTGGGTGCTTAACCCCTGCGCCACCAGGGCTCCTTAAAAGGAATGTAGCAGGTCTAATGTAGGAGTCCCTAGATGGTACAAGTGGTTACCACACTTGGTAGTTAACTGAAAGCTTGGAGATATGAGTCCACCCAGGGGCTCCTAGGAAGAAGGGCCTGGCCATCTACCTCCAAAACCTCAGCCACTGAAAGCCCTGTGGAGCCCAATTCTACTCTGACACACATGGGGTGGCCGTGAGCTGGAATGGACTCCATGGCAACGAGTTTGTCAGTGAAAATTAATGTGGCTATGTATCACAAACAAAACGGAAGTCCAGTGGTGTCCACGAGATGCATCCATGTTCTCTTTTATAACAAGGAGTCTGGAAGCAGGTAGCCATGGCCTCAAAGGGCAGCCTAGGGTCGTCAGGCCCGTCCCCTTTTCTCCAGATGCTGCACTGTCTCTGAGGTGGCTGCTCAATTCCATCCTGCATCCCGTTCAGCAGGAAGGAGGAAGGAGTCGAGAAGATGGTGTCCCCTCCCACTGATCACAGCCCTTGGGGCTGCCCACAGCCCTCCACTCACCCCTCATTAAACCAATACTATCTGTGAGGAGGCGATATGTGCCACATTCTGGCTGGAGAACAATGTACCCAGATGAAAAGCGATTTGTTTTCCTAGACAGGATGGGGAGAAAGCACATTGAGAGGCACCTGGGAGTAGCTGCCACTCTGTAAAGGCTCACAGCCCACAAGATGGTGAACCAGTTGTCTCAGTCATGGTGAGCTGTTGAATGGCCAAGTCATCCTATGAGCTGTGGGAATGTCTGAGTGTGATCAGAATAATTGGAATATCAGAAAACGTTTTGTTCTGTGGTTCAGCCACTCTGTTTTACCCATGAGAGCACAGAACCAGAAAGAGTAAGTGACCTCCCAATGTCAGATGGGTTAGTCACATTAGGAATTGGGATGGCAGCCCACATCTCTCGGTCGTTAGAAGTCTGAAACCGGAGTCTGTGGCTTCACCAAGGCACCTGGGTGGAGGTGAGACAGGAACCTTCGGCCGCTGGAGGCAGAGAGGCAAAAACTAACAACAACAAAAAGAAAAACGCATTGTTGTTGAGTTGATTCCAACGCGTGGCAACCCCGTGTGTTACAGATTAGGACTGCTCCATAGGATTTTCTTGGCTGTAATCTTAATCTTAATCACCAGGCTCTCTTCCATGGCACCACTGGGTGGGTGCAAACCGCCAGCTTTTAGGTTAGCAGTCGAGAGTAAAGTGTTTGCACCACTCAGGGGCCTTGAGACCCATAAACCCATTCCATCGAGTCGATTCCGACTCATAGTGACCCTACAAGATAGAGTAGAACGGCCCCACGGCGTTGCCACGGAATGGCTGATGGATTCAAACTGCCAACCTTTTGGTTAGCAGCTGAGCTCTTAACCACCGTGCCACCAGGGCTCCCTGAGAACCATAAGGAGACCTCAAATCATTGTCCCAAAGGAAAATGAGTCTGCAGTTAAACAAGCTATGCACACAGAGAAGGAATACGGTAATAATTTAAAACAAGTGTTTAGTCATATTATTCAAAAGATGCTGCTGCACGCCATTAACTGTTGAAGACTCCCTTCGTCCCAGTTGTGAGTTAGGGAAGAAACTGATGAACACACTGGTTCCCGGGAAACGCAGCATTCTGTTTTGGCCTCGGTAATTCTGCCTTTGGCTTTGGGTGCGCACGCAGTACCTGACAAGTTCTGTTCAGGGCAACTTGAAAATGTCTTCCCAGCAAGGCTACTATTTCAGGTTGCTGTCTGTGTATTTTGCATTTTCCTCATTCTCTTTCATCTGTGTATAGCTTTTGTCTCATTTTTCCCCTTTCCTTCCTGTATATGAGCTCTGTGGTAAATTATGTATATTCAGCTAACCAGTATAAATAATATCCCATTTTATTTTGAGTGAAGTCCCTTATGTTTTTTTTTCATGTTGCCTCATAAACCATCATTTTTCCCCCTAAAACTAACTAAGCATTTAAAATGTCATGACACTAAATAATAGAACATAATGTGCTCACAGCTTCCTAGAACACAAAGGTCTTTGCCTTGTGTTTAAAATATGAAGCCTTGACATTTAAAAATTTCTTAACTATTGCTTTCACTTTAAAAATATGCAAGAGAAATTGATAACAGTAACACTGAGTAATTAAAACAGATATATAACTTCAGCATTATATGCCTTGATATTACAACTGTGATTCGTAGTTGAATTCATTTACTACTAATTCACTAGGAGTAGTAAATGTTGTTGTTGGAAATATAAATATTAAGTCTAATTTTGTGTTATATGAATTCGATGGTACAATGCGGTAGTTTGACCAAATGTTTACAGAAAAATACATATTCTCTTTCTATATATAATAGTGGCCAGATGAACATGGGAAGGAGCGATGACCTTATCCCTTAGGATTTGGAAAACCTGTGAAATCTTTAAGCTTGTGCTTCTTAACTTGTGGCCTCAGAGTCCTGAGAGGCCCCTAATCAACATAGTAATGAAGCTTTTGAAATTATTTTCTGTGTTCAAGATACGGCTAATGAACACTGGACTCTGATGGTCCTTAGACTACAATAGGCCGACCCGTTGCTGGGGAGTCGACTCTGATTCATGGAGACCCTGTATGTGTCATAGTAGAACTGTATACTTTGTAGGGTTTCCAGTGGCTGATTTTTCAGAAGTAGATCTCCAGTCCTTTCTTCTGTGGTGCCTTTGGGTGGACCCAAACCTCCAGCCTTCTGATTTGCAGCTGAGTGTGTTAACCTTTTGCACCACCCAAGGACTCCCCAGGATGTCTACACAGGCTACCATAGCCCTTGCTTTTGCCTGAAGTTATATCAGTTTTTATCTTAGTGCTTGTTATCTCGCGATTATTAGAGCCACTTATTGTTAGTTGTGTCTTTGAATGATAAACATGAAAATATATTTTCGTTACCATTTAATAAAAGGCATTTGCTGGATAAAATCTTTAGAGACATTCCCAGGAAAATTTATAAAATGCCTTTCGGGTAATAGTGACACAAGGGATCATTGCTATTTACGTGTTCAATTTACAGTCTAATTACCAGAATTAATAATGCTATTCATCCTAGAAGTCTACAATGTCTGCGTATGTTGACGGAGGTGAAGGTTCTTGTCCTTGGCTATATTTATAGTTTTATCTAGTGTATTAAATGATCTGGCCTCATGTAGCTGCTGTTATTATTTTTTAATCAAATGCATTGTCAATGTTTACTTTTTCTCAAAGATAACCTTTGGAGGAATACCTTTCTCTGGCAAGCCAAGTTCGAGCAGCAGGAAGAATTTCAAAGGCTGTATGGAAAGCATTAACTACAACGGTGTCAACATCACTGATCTTGCCCGAAGGAAGAAGTTAGAGCCCTCCAATGTGGTGAGAAAGTTTACCTCCCAATATTGGTTCATGAGCAAAGGATTCTTTAGAGGGTATTTGACGAAGACACAGCCTGATGTTTTTCATCGTGTTTGTGCTGGGCTCAACAGCGTATAACAAACTCTTGCGTTATCAGAAGATGTTTAGGGACTTGATATGCTTTGGGACTAGATAACGGTATTTGAGCTAAACTAGCCTGAAATGGATGGCAGATTTTATTCACAGAACAATAGCTCCGTTTCTGGATTCCCCTTTCCAGGAGAACAGATAGATTCCAGCACACACATCATCTGGCAGTTTCGCAGCTTTGAACTTGGCAACCACAAAACCAAACCCATTGCCATCGAGTCTATTCCGACTCATAGCGACCCTACAGGACAGAGTAGAACTGCCCCATTGGGTTTCCAAGGAGCGGCTGGTGGATTTGAACTGTCCAACTGCCAAACTTTTGGTTAGCAGCCGAGCTCTTAACCACCACGCCACCTGGGGCCCCCCCTTAATCTTGGTAGCATCGTAAAGTCAAATATCTCATCATAGGTGGATTTACATTTCTTGTTGATGGTTTAATTTAATAATTTTTAAATTTTTTAAACAGGAAACATTTTTATATTCACGTTCAGGCTTACAAAGGCCATGTCTTCAATTATGTAAATAAACACACTTTTCATTAGGGCTCTAAAGGCACCCACTCTCTCCCAATTAAATGAAAAGCTGATCACCACCGCGGGGTGAAGGCTCACCTCGCGTCTCCCGGCTCTGACGTCCGCTGCCCCAGAAGGCACTGGATTTCAGGGAGGAGAGCAAAAATTAAAGTGCACTAGCATCCTGCTCCCCGTGGCCCTGCTGAGGATCTCCCAAAAGGATCAATTTAAAAACTCAGTACGGGGATTTCCCACGGTTCCTGAAGACCAGGAACTGCCCCGACCCCGAGCATCGTTTGGAGAGCCCGGGATTCCGGGGTCCCTCACGTCTGAGAGTTGGTGAAGGAGACAGTGTCATGGAGCGCTTGCCCTGGGCTCTGAGGGAATTCCAGTAGGCTTGTCGCCCCAAACTGGAGCCTAGGGTTTTCTTTAAATAATTGGACAAATGGAAATCCCCCAGTGGATAAACAGAGGTCTGATTGGGTCTCAGAAAATATAATGCAGTAATTTAATGCAAAAATATTCTGTAACAAATAATGGTTTTCCTTTAAAAATGATGGATTTGTACTAATAACTAAAAATTCAACTTGGAGGAGATATTCTTATAGAGTATGGCAGAGAAAAGTAGTAATAGCTTCCACGTCTAGGCGGCAGGCACTGTGCTGGGCATAACACATACATTTATGGTAAAATCCTGAAAACAATACTGCCAGGTGAGAGAGCTGGGACTGAACCTGCACAAACAGCTTGCCCAGGGTGGCTGATCGCGAGGAGCAAACAGACTGTGGATCCCACGTGATCAGATTCCGTATCTGCAGGGGTATTCATGTCTATGCCATTTTAAGCTTTTCATAAAGTGGCTCCAGGGTCCCTTTGTCTTCTCAGAAATTGTCACTTCATATAGAAGGGCACAGGGTCCCCATCAGCAGAACCCTGTCTCTGTCACTCACTTTAAAAAGAGGTAGCTGAGGATAGCTGTACCGGCCTCCCGGCTGGTACTGGGATAGATGTAGCTGTTAGCTGCCGGCACTGCAGAAAATCGTAACTATGGAGACTGTTGCAAAAGCAACCTTAACTGCAAAATGCATTGTGGTTACAAGTGGACTCGAGTAGCAATGATATATAGTAAAGTATACATTGTTGTGATTATATTCCACTTGAACCAATAATTGGGCAGACACATAACAAACTGTGGCATCAAAATATAAATGCACGCTAAAAATTTTAGTCAGGATGGAGACAAGTTAGGATGTTTAGCAAGCACCCCTTAAAGGCAAAGGTTTACCCAGGAAGTTTGTTTTCATAGATGTCAGGGGCTGATGTTTCAGTGAAACTCATGGACATTCCTGCTGCCGTGTGCCCACCCCACCCCACTCCACCTCCGCAGGCACGCACTGACCTGTCTCCTCACGACACCCACTCCAGAGTCAGCTCCACTCTTAGGGAAGCCTTGGTTCTTCCCGGGGGACAGTCTCCACAACACAGGTGTGTGGTCAGTTATAACAGCTCTGCTATTATTTATAGGCAGTTCTTTCCATCCGTCAAAGGAAGCGTGTAAAAATAACCATCTGTGAAGGTATAGAGCAAATTTGAGTATTAATTCACAGAAACAGACTGCCTCTGACGAAATGGCTAACATGCTCAAATGGGGGAATAGACATATCTGGGGATGTGTATGTGGTGTTATAAAAAAATTATTGGGGGGCCACATGAAAAGGCCATCAAATTACAGTCCTCAAAATGTTATGGTAGGATAAACAGACCAACCAGAACAGAAATACTGAGAATGTCCACACACTGTGAAGAATGTAAACCAGTGTCACTGAACAATTTGTGTAGAAATTGTTAAATGGGAACCTGAACTGCTGTGTAAACCTTCACCAAAAACACGATAAAATGTTATTAAAAATATATATTAGGGTAGGACAAAAGAGCTTGAAAGCAATTGTAGATTTCTGAGATCTTTAAAAGGAAGACAGGCACTTCAGGCTCTGGAAATATAAAATTCAGTGTTACTGAAGGGTAGCCTGAATTTCTTTGTTTATACCAACATGGAGGCGGATGGGGCGATAGGGACAGGTGAATTATTGCAAGGTTTTATTGTTTGTTTGTTTTGTACATCCATACCGCTAATTCCCCAAACATGAATGTATTATGATGTAAGTGTACTCCATGGGCATTTAAGTGGGGTTTTGAGTTGGATATCAAAATAATCTGAAGTTATCACCATTGTGCTGAGGCTACATAGTTAATATCAATTCATATATATTAGGTATGTGGGTAAGAACCAAGAACATTTGCCCCACAGGTGAGCTTTGTAAACAGCAAAGCGGACAATCCCTGGACCCCCGAGAAGGAAGTGAGTGGTCCATTCGTGGCCATTTGATGCAGCCACCCAAAGGCGGCATCTCCCCCAGAGGGGGTCCTGACCATCCTCAGTGATGGGAGCCATGCTCTGCTGTGCTCAGAAGGCAGCAGTGGTCCCCATCTGAGCCCCCACACTGGTGTACCTCCCACGGTCAGACCAGCACACCAGCTGTCACTGTCTGTTCCATGACAGTTGACGCTTGCTAACACCTCACCTCGAAGGCAGGTACCATGTTCAGGGCAGACCATTCCCACCTGTCCCATCCTGAATACCTCACCTCGATGGCGGATACCATGTTCAGGGCAGACCCACGCCCACCTGTCCCATCCTGAACACCTCACCTCGATGGC